TTTCGGGCAAAACTCATTTAACAAAGCAGGAGGATTGAAGGAGCCACTGTGACATTACCAACTTGTTCTGCCTGATGTTTCTTTGACAGGAAGCTGAGACAGAGATGCAACAATTTTTTGTTGTTGTTGTTTGTTTTTAGTTTGTTTTGTTTTGTTTATTAGTTTGAATGTTTTGGTCAAACTGTTTTGAATCAAAACCTTGTCAGAAAACCAGTTTGCGTTATGCTTCAATGCCTTGAACATGCTGGGGTGAATCAGTAAATACTACCCATAATAAAAATAAATTAATTAATTAAAAGTACTTGTGTGGTTCAGCAACATGCTGTTCAAAGGTTTTGCTCTCTCTGTCTCCCTCAATAACAAAATTCAGGCTATTTCATAAAAAAGGAAACCGAAAGAGCTGTACATCAAGAACTCAATCTGCAAGGCTTGAACTGATTCCCTCTCTGGGAATCTGTTATTTCCAGCGTCAAGTGATTGCAGCCTGTGATCAGTCTTGTTGCTGTAATGACACATTCAAACTTTTCTGCGACGCAGCATTTGTTTTTCACAGGCTCTTCTACTTAAACGCAAAAGCAACTCCTTGACTTCAGTGAAAACGCGTCTGAGCCGATAGTCCAAGCCAGTCAGAAGCCAGCAAACAGTTGCAGAGGGGAGCAGAAAGTCACCAGCTTTCATTGCAGGGGCCTGAAGCTGCATGCTTCTCTGAACACAGTGAGCCTAGTGCTTATGAAATGCATAAACCCAAGACGCTCTGATCAACTTTATCTTTCGTCCTGGATTTCTGAATTAGGAAACAGTCCTCTGGAAACTTTCATGTCCACAACTTTAAAAAAAAAAAAGAAAAGAAATTACTAATAGGCCTACATCAACCAACAATAACAGTTTGTTTTTGTTTTTTGAAATGCTTTCTCTCCTCTGACAGCGTCTGGTATCCATGTGATTTATCTTCAATAACTTCAGCCGTTCTGTAGAAGTGTCGGTGTTTTTGCACAGTCTGACTGAAGCAGCTCAAAACGTTGATTCTTCCAAACAGCTAATTTCATGTGTTTAGGTGAGAAACAAGGGAGTTCAAGAGTTCTCCTGTGTTGATGCCTTTTATGTTGCCAAAATGGCAACTGCCAGCTCGGTGATGAGACGTGTGAAAACAGCCAAGGTGTGTCGTGCAACAACCCGAAAGGACGAAACCTGCAACAACCACCAGAAAGTGTTGCTGTTTCACTTCTGATCATTGCCGGGTGTTAAATGTTGGTGTCCGTTTGTCGTGTACAAAAAGCTACTGCAAGGATGCAGTCAGCTCGCAGTCGTTGCATTGCTCAGTTGCCATTGGCTTTATGCCCCATAAATAAATCTTTCTAAACTGTTGGATGCTCTACCCACCTTTCCCCACAATAGCAGGAACTCCTAGCACACTTTAATTCATTTACTAATTTATATTTTACCTGTTACCACACAGGTATTAGAGCAAAGATCAGCGTCTCCATTGATCAGCAGCATTTACGTCCCACTATTACCGTCACTATTGTGTTTGATGTGCCCTCTGGTGGCTAACCTCTGCAACTACATGCTTCCTGCCACCCTCATTCTAAATATGAGGAATAATTTTCATTTTACAACAAAACAGTCTTCAATTAAAGAAAAAAATTAATGAAATTGGAAAAGGGTAGCTGTGTCCAATATCTATTCTGTTACAGTCCCTTGGCAGCAAAAAAAAAACTGACAAAGTGTTTCTGATGACGTGGAATGAGTCATTCTTGATTTGATTTTGAGTTGTTCTGTTTCAGACACTTTGGGCAGCATGAGCAACCTCTGTCAGGACCTGATTGGAATTTATTGATTTTACAGCATCTCAGTCAGATTAAAGTCCAGATTCTGATTGGACCACTCCGAAACTTTAAGTTGGTTTGTTTTGAGCCATTCAGATGTGAACCTGCTGGGGTTCAGACGTGTCCATCTGCAGAACCCAGACGCTCTTGAATTTCAGATCGCTAAACCGATGGTCAGGCATTCGCGCTCAGGGTTCTGCTGAATTCTTGGTTCCGGGCCCTGAAGCAGCAAACCGGCTCCTGACCATCAAACCACTGTGTATGACTGTTGCTGTAATGTTCCTGTACTGAAATCCTGTTAATTTCATACCAGATGTAACAAAACCCAGACTGTCCAGACTTTTGTCTCATCAATCCCCAAAAGGCCAGAATGATGAGAACCTGAATCATGGTTTGTCAGCGTCACTCCTGCACAGGATGTTCCTTATAATAAATGAATGACTGAATTACTGCATCATAAACTCATCAACCTGTACCTGCTCGTGAACATTGACTGAAAACCTGACTCTCCGTCACGTGTCACTTCCTCTTCAACTTGTTATGTGGCAAAACATTTGCTGGGCTGGAAGAAGCTCAGGTGACGCATTGTCCTCTCTAGAGGTAGAGAGTGAGACAGAGACAGAGACAGGGAGACGGGAGGGTTTTTAAAACAGTGTTTGGTCACGAGCTGTGAGGAAATCAACTAGAGATGCCAGAGGGTCCGACTGTGAAACTGAGAGGAGAACAGCATGTATGAGCTTCATGAATTTTCATCCATCACCAGCAACTATTCGTTTTGCATACAAAAGCAACACCTATTCTTATTAATCCAAATGCTAACATGTGTCCCTTCTGTTGCTCTGGGGCTTTAAACAAGCTGGGACCTGATTGGAATTTATTGATTTTACATTTAGAATGTTTTTTTGTCAGATAAATGCTTTCTTACTGTTGCAGACACAAACCAGTAACAAACATTTCTTCTACTAGTGCACTCTTTAATATGACTTGACTAGGACACGGTCCTTGGTTTCACATGCTTCAGCAGCGTGGAATCATAGTGATTTTTTTTTTCTTTTTTTTATGGTAAATGACGGTTATGCCTTAGGGAGTCAGATGAATGTCTTGACTTTTACTGACATTTATTTGAGTAGGTGTTTGGCATGATAATGATCACGAGAAAAATCTGATGGGTAAAGAGATCGTGCAAGGTGGGACTTCAGAAATCGTGCTGCCTCAGTTTATGTCGATAGGTGGACCGAGGAGAGCTCATAAGATCAAAATTCTGCGGTCATAATAATGTGTGGGAATAAGACAAATCCCGTATATCCTCAGGCATAAAGCCGCCTGCTAGAGTTTGTACACAAATGAGCAGACATGTGAACTGAATATTTCAGTAGTAAAAATAAAAGCAAGAAATCTGGCAATTTGTTGCTTTGATAAAGTGCATTAGACAATATTTAAATTCATCCGTCCTATTGGACATTTCCAAATTTTGTGTTTGTTTTCTCTGTTATGACTGTGCAGAATAACTTACTCATTATTCTGAGTAAATGTAAGTTGTGCAACATTTATTTCCCACATTTGTTTTTTTGTTGTTTGTTTTTTATCAAAGAGGTTCAAGAAGCCCAAGTTCTTTCAGTTGCCCATCCAGGTTTCATCCAACACTCCTGGTGGTGTCCTGTTACCTCGTAATTACAAAATCTTTTCTCATAATTGTGACATATAGATTGTGGCAACTGTGTCATCTGTGACTTCACCACTCCCACCACTGAAGACTACTTGTTGTCTGTGTTCTGAAACAAGCCCATCTTGATTAGGTCACTGGGGGGGGTGGTCGGATATGGAGCTTTCCAAGTACAAAAAAGTCACTTCCTGGGGGGAGGGATTTATATGACATCAGACTATGATGACATAGGATCTTCAGGCATCCAACCAGGATCACTCAGGCCAAGTTTGGTCCCATTTGACTTTTTTTGTGAACATTATAGCGTTTTGTTTGCTTTTGCAAGTATGCCAAGTTTGATACTTGGTGACGCCGCCTGAGCGTATATGAAAACGACATTTTTTGATAACTTTTAATGACCCACCCTTAACTGCATCCTTATCAAAAATGAAGCCAAAAAACCCTAAGGAAGAGTTTGTTAAAAGTTTGATGTATGTGAAAAATGGCCTAAATTTCCCTTTTGACCCAAAATGGCCGCCTCCCTGTACATTTCGGAGGATACTTCGAAGAGTTTTTTTCTTGATTTGGGGTGATCTACCTTTCAGATCTCCACAACCTTTGGCTTGTCCTAGCTCACATTAGGTGGCATTGTAGAGGAGTTAAAAATGTTATCATTCCTGAAGATTTGTTTCTATTCTCACTCGACATCGACGGTCTTTATGCAAACACAGACATTCAGGAAGGAACTGACGCAGTGAGAGAAATCTTCAAAGAACATACAGACAACAGAAGACCAGAGAAAGAGCTCTTACAAAGTAAACCTCACTAGGAATGACTGAGTTCAATGGAGAATTTTTTTCTCCAGACAAAGGGCACTGTGATGGGCAAAAAACTCGCTCCTGCTCAGGCAAATATTTTTATTGTACCCGGGGAAAAAATCTGTAAAACCCATGCGTTATTTCCAATTTCTAGATAACATTTGAGGCGTTTAGTCATACTCTGAAGAGGAGTTTGAGGAGTTTTTAAGGACTTTGAACAAACACAATATCTCAATTAAATTGAAATTGACAATTAACAAAACCGCCATTGATTGTTTAGATACAATCACCTAAAAGTGCATAATAAACTATTCTTTAACCTTGAGATACGGATGACTCACTGTTTAAGACAAGTTTTCACCGCAAACATATTTTTACCGGTCTCGTTAAAATCACAATTATTGCGATTTTCTAGGATCTGTAGTCAGCAGGATGACTTCAGATGAGCCACTAAAACGTTGTTCTCCGCTGTGGCCAGCAGAGGGTGCTGTCGCTCCTACCTAAGGAAATGCTTCAAATCACTCTTGGAAACTCAGCCCATTGATGTGTCATCTTGCTTTGTCACCAGATTTTCTCCACCTTCAACCAAACTGATCAAAGTCATTGTAGCGACTTATTTGTCTGACGACTCAAAAATCAAAAACTTGAGCCTTCATTGGGTTCAAAGAGCCGCTCGAGGCGCCGTGGGTTTCTGGCTTAAGCAGTTCCAAAACGTCGGTCAAAAATGCAGTTCTTTATTTATGTCAAAGCTCCAGGAAAACATGTTACACACAGGGTTCTGCTGCTGCTCTGATTATCTCACCTGTTCACTGACTGACATTGTCTTATAGACTGACTGGGTGTAGCAGCTAAAAAAAACAAAAACGTGACCACCCACGTGCATAAAGAACTACCTCTAACCTACGTATTTATACTGCAGATGTTTCAACACCTGAATGTTCAGCAGCTTTTGGACCGGATCTAAAACCCGACTGGTATTTTTCTGAAACATTCGACATGTTAAACCTTGGAGTCAGATTATTAAACACTGAGGCGTCAAGCCCCCTTCTCTCACAGCCAGATTAAGGCTGGATTTAAAAAAAACATGTTTCCTGTTAGGACACAAACATCGGGAACGCTGCTGACAATAAAACCCGACACCAACATAATTCAAGTTAAACTTCATGGCTTTATAATTATCCCTCCGGTCTGTCGGGACCCAGGAACTCGAGCTTGACCTTCGATGACATTCAAACGAAATCAGGATGACGTTCTTTTATTGTCATTTCCTGTCCTCTGTGGGACACCGTAGAGCTCGAGTCCAAGCAGTAATATTATTTTTTTCAGTGTAATCAGATTCACGAGCAGAAACTAAACCAGAACTAAACTGAAATCAAGGTCCTGAAGGGACCACTGACAGCATCACTTCAGTTTCCACAGCAAATCATCTGGAGACGCAGGAGCCCCCTCACACCCAGTGTTTCACTCTTCAAAAAGGAAAAAAAAATAACAAAAACATTAAAACATTCATTGTGAAGCTTGAAGCGGGTGGACTGGTGCCGTTTCACCAGGACGGGTTCAGTGGAAGACGGTCTGTCTCCAGCGTTTGTCGGCCGTGAACGGCCACAGACACTCGCTGATGGCGATGGAGAACGCTCGCGGCTCCACGCTCAGGTTCAGCTGCTCCAGGCGGGAGCAGTTCAGCTGGCTGTTGATTGGACGAGGAGCGGACCCGGCCGACTGCTCCGTCAGCTGTGGACGGACGGCGAGACGGCATGAGATGATGCAACAGAACCACCAACAGAACTCCAATCATTGCCACTTAAGACTATTGGCAGCAGGTGACAGTGAATGTCCGAGGAAAACAATGAAACAATCAGCTGACTCACAGGTACGAGGTGATTGGACGGCAGGTTGAAGGCCTGCGCCATGGCAACAGCCATCTCATATTTGGTCATCTGCTCTTTACCGGAGAAATGGAAGATTCCTCGGATGGACGGATCCTGCTGAGAGAAACGGATTCGGTTTCAGGCACCTGGCTGGGAACTCCAACATCAGCTCGCTATTCTATTGGCTCAGGAGCATGTTAGCTCATTAGCGTATTAGCATATCAGCAGAGCTGTGTAGAGGTGACTGCAAGCCAGTGAAGCAGTTTTTCCCTTGGGGAATGCAGCCATTGATACCTGTGATTCATTCAAGTAACTAACTTCGTTTTTGGTTCCAAAGTGTTAAAAAGGCTTCAGTTTGTAGTGGAGGAGATTCACAGTCCGAGCATTTAATTCAAAACGCTGACAGACGTTAACACGGCCGTGTTCCCTCACAGTTCTCTGCAAATCTCAGACGCTGCACCGAGCGAGAACACAGCCAGATTTCAGTGTATTTAGGTGAGTTTTGACGCTTTGCAGTTTGTCCCTGTCCACAGAGAAGGTTTGCGCGGCCGCCGCACATTTTCTCGGCAGGTCAAACGTTTGCGCTTATCTGCGCAAGCTTTCATGCCACGTTCATTTTTATACGTGCCGACTTGTGCGTAAAATAGGGCGCCGCGCATTTTTGGTGCGCGTACATGAGGGCCCAGACATGGACTTTTCAGAAGGTGTCGATACATGGAACGTTGGCGATTCTTCAGAGAAGGCCCCAATAAAAATAATGAAGAAACAGAATCATTTATGACAGCAGAGATCTTGCTGGGATAACAAAGTGATGGTTTAACTGATCTTTAACCAGTTTGAAAACACGCAAAATATCAGAAATCAGGAAAGGAGCAAACACTTTTGCACGCTTCATTCCTGGACAGTAGCATTGATGTAAAATACTTAATATACATTATATAACATTTCTAAATATCATTCTGAGTCATTTCCTGTTTTCTTACTTGTTTTGGAGGACCTGCCAGTCAAAATGAACTCATTTAGATGAACCTGGTTTCACACATCCACAGTTCAAACTGATCTGTGACATCATCATCATCATCATCAGCAGTGGGATGAGACAGGCGCTCTGAACTCCCACCTGTCTCGCTCTCTCGGCGAGCTTCCTGCAGACGGCGGCGACGTCCCGAGCGTCGGTGGGGAAGCGCTGCAGGCAGTGGTCCAGCACCCGCCGCTCCTCTGTCGCCTCCTGCACCTGCTGCCACAGCGACGTCACGGCGCTCTCCGTCACAGACTCCACCTCCCCGAACAGGACGGGAATACGCAGGATCACCGCGCCTGAAACAGGTGAGCGGTCAGCCCGCCGATGAACCACGACGTCATCCTGACAGCTACAGGCTGCAGGCTATCTGACCACCTCACTGTTTTCTCCTACTGCAGTCCAGTCTGCGTTATCATAACTTTTCACTGCGACATAGAAAGTTCTCCTGGTTCAGTTCTTCTGCTCTGTCGTCTCTAACCTCCAGCCGGGTCAGACGGCCGCTGGTACCGACCCGGTTCTGGTTCTGCTGGAGGTTTCTTTCTGTTAAAGAGGACTTTTTTCTGCCTGTCGCCGTTTACCTGGGCAGTGTCTGAGCGCCTCCCTCTCTCCCTCCAGCTTGCTCCGCCCGTACAGGTTGAGCGGGTTGGGACAGTCGTCCTCGCCGTATGGAGGGTTCCGGCCGTCGAACACGTAGTCGGTGCTGATGTAGATGAGCAGGGCACCGCAGGCGGCTGCGTCAGAAGGGTCAAAGGTTGCAGTAAACACACACGACCTTGGTCCTCGTGGCACATGAACGACAGGATTGTTCAAATCCATTTTCCTTGCGATCAGAAGCAAAACACCGGATCAGAACAAGCTCTGATCCGGCTCTCTGGGCGTCCTGTCAGAATGATTCTACAGAACCAGAACTTACTGAAACAGACTGAAAGCTGTTGGAGCAAAAACAAACTTCCTGTTTTTGGATTTCTAAATTTATCTGAACCAACTGGGTTCTGCCACCAGACCCGATTGGAGCAGGTCATAAAAGACCAGAGCGGGTCCAGTTCTGAACCGGGGACAGACATACGGTTCAGAACAGGACCATATAAAGCCTGTTAGAACTGCAGCTGATGCAGTGGTCTGAGCGTGCCGTGGTGGAGTAGAGGACAGCGCGACCCACATTTAGAGGCCTTGAGTCCTCGACGCGGCCGTCGCGGGTTCGACTCCCGGACCCAACAATATTTGCTGCACGTCTTCCCCCTCTCCTTCCCCCCTCCCTCTCAGCAAAGGGACACTACAGCACACAAAAAGCTGGCGCCGCTGCGTCATGTGACCACTGACCTGTCTCCCTGGAGACGGTGCTGGAGGCGTGCACGTTCAGGCTGACCGCCGCGTCCGCATCTCTCTCCATGACGTCCGGACGCCGTTCTGCGGCGCAGTGGACCAGAACGTCGGGCTGGAACAGAAACGCTCAGGTTACCATGACGACACCAGCTGAAGCCCGGCGACCTTTCAATGACCCTCAAGTTCATCTATCTTTTCTAAAAATAAAGCTGGTGATGTCAGAGGATCAGTGACATCATCGCTGCTAAAAGAGAATCCACAGAATGTCTGATTTACAGTAACTGAATCTCTCTGAAAGCGACATTGCTGCACCCACGACCTTTGACCCCGTCTGGCTGTCCCAGGACAGAGACGCTACAAACATCTCGAAAATGAAGAAACGCTGAAATTAAGACAAAAAATGTGTTGGTTACATAAAACGGTTCAACAGTGAGAGGGAACAATTCAGTTCAATTATAACTTATTGATCCCAATGAGCTATTATTGAGATCAATAATAATTTGATCCCAAAGTATTATTGATAATCCAGTTTTAAAGGTATTATTAATTGGGGGAGATCTGCTGTAGCAGTCTGTATGAGAGCTGAAGAGTCCTCTGACTGAAGACGGACTGATGAAGAGGATGCTGCAGGTCATGCTGAAGGATCAGATCCGACGCTAACGCAGAAGAATCTGGATGTTCAGATCGTCTATGTTCATTCATTCATATTCTAGAATCAGTGTTTGAGTAAATGTACAGAAATTAAATCTGATCTAAAACTCAAAGGTGATGACGAGTGAAAACATTTCATTTGTTCTGAGATCAATAAAGGCAACATCAGTCTGGCCTAGTCCAAGCATTCAGGAAGTCTGTTGTCTGCTATTGGTGGAAGGGGCGGTTCAGTCAACCAATCAGAGGACCCAGGCTGCAGCCAATCACATGCATCGACAGGATACATCTGGACTTTGCCAGAGGAGAGGAGGTCAAAAGTTTTCATACGGGTCTGGTTCTGGTACCTTGGTCTCCTGCAGCAGCCGGCGCACGGCGTCCTCGTCGGTCAGGTCGCAGCGCAGGAAGCGGGGCCGGGCCCGCCGAAGGCCGGTCCCGCTCACCGTCCAGCCGTGGTTCTGGAACTCCTTGCAGACTGCCCGACCCAGAAGGCCCGTCGCCCCGGTAACCACAACCCTCGGGCCCTGGGACAGGACCTCATCCTGGGGAGGAGCGGAGAGCCAGGTTAGACAGGGGCGTGTCCTGTTGCTATAGAACCGGAAAAGTTCAGGTGAGCCTTCTGAAGGGGGCGGGGTTAGAAATACCGAGAGGACCTGAATAGTACGACCAGAGAACCGCCGGGATCCAGAACCAGAACAGTCCCAGCGCAGATCTACTAACAACCCG